GTGGTGCAACCCTCTCTATCTCCATCCTTCTGAGCTTGTTTGCACAGTCCACAAATCCCAAGGGTTGCTTTAACTTAGGATTTGTAGCTGCAATCTGCAGCTCTTCTTTACACTGCTGTTCAAGGCAGTGATACCCAGTTTTCCATTAGCATGCTGTGGGATGCTAAGAAGAACTGCCATAGCAAATAAAGCAGTTTGCAAGCAGTAAATACAAAGAGGTTACATTTAAGAGCTGCATGGTGACAGTAGTCATTAAGAAAGGTCAGGGGGGATATGGAGAGCTGGTTGGATCTTTCCTTGTGTTTTCTCTGTTTGTACAGTATAATCTGTTCATGTTCTCCTGAGCTAGTTTGCACAGTTGCTGTAGCCTCATTATATTTATTGAGGGCAATTTCTTTTCTTTTCTTTTTTTGCAACTGTGATCCTTCTTAGGATCTTGCAATATGCTGATGAATATATAGCCGTCATATCAGTGTGCATGACACTTTGCCCAGTAAGAACATAAAAAGAGCCTTCTGGATCAGGCAGTGGCTCATCTAGTCCAGCATCCTTTGTCACAGTGGCCAACAATACGTCACTGGGAAGCCCACAAGCAGTAACTGGGTGCAACATCACGCTCCTCTCCTGTGCTTTCCAGCAACTGGCCTTATTCAGAAGAATCCTACCCCTGGCTCTGGAACTGAAACACTGCCCCCAAGGTGTATAGCCTGGTGAATAGGGGCTCTTATTCACACTCTCAGTGGGTGTTAGTCATGGATTAGCCTCCTGGTCATGCAGAGCAATCAGAGACTGAAGTGAATTAAGGAATGACTGTTAACTTCGTTTATAAACCAACTTTGCATCTCTCCTTCCCCTATTGCCAGCCAATTCTCTGGGACTCTGGAGAGCACGAATGCATCGCTTGCTCATTAAAAGCAAGTGAAGACATAAAGCATGAATGGATACAGCATAGGAGGGTGCCAAGACTACCTTAAGCAGCCAAAGTCTGGTGCGACATACAGTCTTCATATATTATTTAGCTGTGTTTCTTCTTTCCCCTTAGAGGGTTGTGAATTTTCATTGTATCCGGGTTTTAGAAAGGAGAGTCAGATCTCACTTGGAGGTGGCTCCTTGACGGAATTGTCACTCTTCCACCTCTGCGCGTTTGAACACATTTTGCTGTAGGACAATGTTGACAATGTGAGCAGCCAGCATTTTAACCTGCATCTTTCTTTGCCTGTCAGACCTTGTAAATTTCTCCAAGATGGTTAATGCTTTGAAATGACGGAGGGACTCAGAGATCAAGGTACGAGCCAAAGCAGCCTATTGTCAAAGGCATAAATATCCCCCTTTGTATTCCCTTTCAGTCAACAGGCAATAACAAAAGGGAATGCAAGCCAAATCTGCCTTGGCTGGCATCTGGATGTAAAGAAAGGGGTGTAAAGGTGAACAATCACTCCTACATTTCCTTCCCGGAGCTATCATTACTGAACAGATGCAACTCCTCATTTCCATCATCATCATTTGCTACTCAGGGTGAAATGTGGGTGTCAGGATCTCAAGGTTGCACCATGCCAGACCTCTCTCCCCTTGGGTGTCAGGAGAATGTCAGGCTTTCTGGTCTCAACCAGAAATGGGAGGAATCATTGCCCAGGAAGCCATCACCCTCCCTCGCAGCACCTCAGAAGTTTCCAGGCTCAAGGATCTGTTTCAGAGCATTCCCACCCCACAATGAAGTCCTCGCCACCCCCATGCAATAGAAGCCAGTGGCTGCAGAATCCAAAAATGACCTTTTAAGGAACTAAGCGGGGTGGTACTGACTAGCCAGCCTTCATAAGGCACAGCACTAAGTTCTCCCTGGGCAAGATTTAGCCAGAAAAGGTTTGCCCTCCCAGATCTTAAATTGTATTATGAATCTGCTTGTTTGGTATGGATCAGGGACTGGATGAGATTGGACAAGCAAGAGGCATTAGAACTAGAAGGACATGACAACAGATTTGGCTGGCACGCATACTTATGGTACGGGAAACGGAAGGTTCATAGAAGTTTTTACAACCATATAATCAGGAAATCACTAATGAGAGTTTGGGAGAGATACAATGACTTATTGGAACAAAAGACCCCGTGGTGGTTCTCACCATATGAAGCATTACTGCTCAAACCACTTGGAAAGAAAGGAAAATGGCTCACATATGCTGATTTATTAAAGGAACATGATGGAAAATGGAAATTAAGAGATTATGATGAGATCAAAGACCACTTTCAGAGTTGGTTGCATTATCGACAAAGACTCTTGTCCCTGGAAGAGAGGGGAGTGGTTGTGGGCGGGTGCCCGAGCACCGCCCCTAGCAGGGGGCATTAGCCCCCTGCCTCCTCCTCTCACCTGGCTGGCGCCCACGCCCCCTTGGCAGGCATCCAACCAGGTGCCTTTGAGGGGGCGGGTGCCGCAGCCTTTGGCGGCGGTGCCAGCCTCTCCTCGGCCTCATTCTTCTCCGTCCTCTCGTCGTGAGTCATCAGCTAGGAGTCATCACAGTCATCACAGGGAAGAGCCACGAGGTTTGGAGTCGGGGGGGGGGTCTGTGTGTGTGGAGGCTGCCTGGTTCCTGGCTTGCCTTTTAACTTTAGGAGGCTTGCGTGCACTCATTGCTTTACTGCTTTTAAAAACCCAGGCATCCAGGTTTGCCTTGCTGTGTCCTCTTTTCCGTGTAAAAACCTACATTTAACCTTCTATTTCCCCCCACTCCTGGTGCTTGATTTGTTTGTGCGGTCTGAGTGCGAATTACCTTTCTTAAGCTGCAGCTTGTTCCCTTGCCCAGCACGTGCCCCCAGCGAGGTCTGAGTGTGAGTGTGGCTCTGTCTTTCTTTCTCCCTCGTCTCCTCGCTTTCCTTCCCCTGCCTCTGCCTTGGTGGCTGTGCGTTTTTATTTAATTTTTGGCCAGGGTGCTTGTACGTTTCCCCTCTATTGCCCTTGCCTGTCCAATTGCATGGCTGGTCTGGGTGACTGAGTGGGTTTGCCTTACATTTTAATTTGTTGGCCAGGGTGCTGCTGCGTTTTCCCCCTCCATTGTCCTTGAGAGCCTGGATAGCTCAGTTGGTTAGAGCATGGTGCTGTTAATGCCAAGGTTGCAAGTTCGATCCCTGTATGGGACAGCTGAATATTTCTGCATTGCTTGGGTTGGACTAGATGATCCTCAGGGTTCCTTTTCCTGTTCCTCTCTAATTTTAAGTCGTGTGTGTGTGTGTGCTTGCAGCGTGTGTTTGTGCCTGCCGTTTATTGATTTATTACTCTTCTAGCGTGGGTTTAATTTACCCTGCTATCCCTTCCATTGGTACCACTTAAATCGGGAGCCCCCTGTAAAATTTTAAAGGCTGCCGGGGCTTGGAATAGACTGTGCGCATAAACCTCACCCCTCTTGGTTTCTCTAAGCCAACCCTCCCCCCTTCGCTTGATGTTTGGGGGAAGAAATAAGGCAGGGCTTGGGGTGGACAATTCAGGGTTTCTGATCAGGGAACCATTCCTCAGCACTGCACGTTTATACGTTTAGAACCTTTGAAGGTGTGCCTTTGCCTGGTTCTTGTCATTGGCTTCACTTGCCAGTACAGGCTCCCTAAAGAAAACCACTTTTAAACAACAACAACAAAAAGGTTTTGGCTTATAGTACCTTACTGAAAAGTCCAGGTTAACCCACGGTTTATATTTCCACTTCATTTTGGCTCACTGTAAAGGACAGCTATTTTCCTTTTCTTCAAAAACTTCCTTGCCCGGCATGTTCATTTTACTCCCCCCACCCCTCCTCCCTCCCAACTCCCCCCCCATGCTTTCCTTCTCCTCCCCCCCCCCCGTCCTCCCTCCCTCCACTCCCCACCCTTTCAGGAGATACATTGGTCTTTGGAGTTCCCTTTGCTTCTTGCCTGAGTCATCACAGTTACCAGACAGGTTTTTCAACTGCTGGGTTGAGAGCTTGATTGCTCTCTGAGTGACCGGCAGTTTGTGAGGCATTGTCTTTAAGCACCTGGCAGTTCAGCAGCTCTAGTTGCATTGTCAGTTTAACTAACCAGCAGTTTGACCAATTGCAGTCTTTTGTCTGTTTAAGCACCCTTAATTCAATCAACTGGTATTGAGCCGACCTTGTGGGCAAAGATTTACTTTTCTTTGTTTGGCAAAGTTTCCTTTGTTTGGAAGAAGTTTCCCCAGCAGTGAGATATTCCCCTTAAGAGCAACCTCCCCCTCCTTTTCAGAGGGCCGCTGGTGTGGGCCTGGAATCTTATTGATTTCCTTTTCTCTTAATTTGGCTGCAGCTTCTGAGCATCTCCTCGTAAGCAGTTATTTTCAATTCTGTTTGATTACTTGGCAATGCTTTGTGCCTAGATTTGCCTATCATTTAAAAGGGGCAACTTTTATTGTAGGCAATTATCTTCTAATTCTGTCTGACTGCAGTTGGGGTTGCTTTGTGTATGGGATTGTTCCTTGGAGTCAGGTGCTAATATGTAGCTGAGCACTGCTGCTTAAACTCTTGCTGGGTTGTGATTTAATAAATATAAATAAATACAAGCGGTGCAGTTAAGTGATGTATAGCTTGTTCATTTTGTCAGCAGTTACGCAGAGCAATTGATAATAGTAATTCCTACTCATAACTATAAATCCATTGGCTATTAATTGAGATACTATCGATTAATAATTAATTCATCAACAGTGCTCCTAACTTTATTGATGCACAATAATTGTATACTAGCATTTAACTACAGTCAAGTTATTAATTGATTGGTGATATTAATACTAATTAAAAAATAACAACAACAATAATAAAATAAAATAAAAAATAAATAAATTTGAAAAATAAACAAATAAATAATAATAATAATAAATAATTATAAATAATATAATAAAATAAAATAAAAATAATAATAATAATTAATATTTACAATATAAATAAATAAATGAAAATTAAATTTAATAATAATAATAATAATTAGTGACGAAATAAATAGTAGGCGCATTTTACTAGTGCACAGAGCAGCTCATGGCGCCCAAGAGGAAGCGCACGGGTGCAGTACCAGCACACACTGCAGCTGTCAACCGTCGTAATAATAAACCCAAACCCATTTCGCAGTTCCTCAATGCCTTCAGATCATTCATTGTTGACTATGAACAGCGCTTTCTCTTAGCTATTCTTTAGTTCTATTTGCCTTGCGTTTCTTACTTCCTTGTTTCGCAAACCAGTGGCCAGCCTTTAAACTACCCAGGTGCAGGCCCAAGCCCTCAGACAGGAACGGCGGCTGTGCAAACTAGGTCTCAGGCTTGCTCGCCGACTTTCAGAACCGCACCAGGGCGCCTGCGTGGAGGCTGCCGGTCCATATCAATAACCCGGTTGCTTCCAGTTCTTCTAGTTCTTTGCAGAATAAGCAGCCCAGGGTCCAGCTTCCAGAATCAGACACCTCATCAGCCGGTGATGATGAGTCAGAATGGCTTACGCCCTTTCTGGGCTATTAGCATCTGGCAGTTAGCCCGTATGTCGAGAAGAAGCCATCAGAGGTGTATCACACTGGAAAGCTGGGCCTTAGAAAGGATTTAAAACGTAAGGTGTGCTGGTAATTCAATAAAGGGCAATGCCAAAGGCAGTCTTGTAAGTACCCGCACGAGTGTGAGAGATGTGCAGGGGCTCACCCAGCCACAGCGTGTTACAAAGGGAAGCGGCCCTTTTGGGGAGGTCGGGGCTTCCACCACTCTAGTTCTAGACGAGCCCCCGCAGCAGCGAACCATCGATAAAGTCCTTCTGGGTCTAGCATTTTCTCCAATTCAGCTTTCTCCTCTCCTCAACCTCTTGTCTATCCATCCGGATGGACGTGCAGCATCCTATCTTTGGAAGGGTTTCTCAGAGGGTTTCAGAATCCCAGTAGTTGGCTCCTTAACCACGAAGGACGCTCCTAATCAGAAGTCAGTAAGGGAAAGGACGCTCGCCTCACCCAACGGGTAGCTAGCCCCACCTCTGGGTGCACACTATGTTTGCCACTCCGGGTGCCAGAGCAGCTAGCTCCGCCTCTGGAGTCACACTATGGCATACAGCTAATTGGGATGAACCCAACAGGGCCACCACTTAGCCCCTGCTTGGTCTCCAGGACAGAGGCACCCCTTCCCAGACCCACCCCCCTTTTGAGATTATTAGGCAACCAAATGTATCATTCCATAACACCTCATACAGGAATTATTATTATTATTATTTATTTATTTTTCCCCTGGGGAACCTGCCTTTTTCTCCCAGATCAACTACAAGAGCAAGACCACAGCTTTAACAAAATGACAGCCCAAACAGGAAGACACATGGGAGCAATGGTACTGCTTTGAAGTGTTCCAGATCCATTTCCTGTTCTCCCAATGAGCAGGGCAGCTGTGGGCAAAATTGCAAAGAAGTACAATAATGATTTAGTCCTTAGTCCTATAATCTAGTAAGCCTTTAAGCCCAACAGTCGAAATCGCATAATTTCAATGCTTTAACTATATTAGGGAACATGTATAGTTAGTAAACAAATTGCTAGTTTGGTGAGAAATAACACTTCACTGAAGTGGATAACGCTTTGGCCAAGAGCTCACCTTTGGCAATCTTCTAGAACATGTTGCATATGTAGCAGTTCTTTCTAGCTAGAGTGAAACTGAAACCTGACATTTACAGTACCAGATAGAAGTGTTCTGGAATGTCCTGGCTGTGTCTGGAATGTCCTGGCTGTGTCTGTAGTACAACAGTTTTGGAAATCTGTAGGAGAGCATCCCACCAATCTCTTGTCATACTAACAATCGTGTTATCAACTAACAATCAAAAGTGCAAAAATTTTAGCTACATTGGCAACAGGATGTTGGCTAGAAGCAACTGGTTTTCTGAAGCTAAAACTTACAATTTTGTTCTAGGAGTTACTTGATCACAATATAGAACTATTTGTTTATTCCTTAAGAGTTTTACACATGATGAAAACGTATACTCAAGCAGATATTTTTATAATCACTGTACTATACTATGATACAGTGCATAATGAACATCCACATTCAGTTAGTCTGTGTGCCAGCCCCCTTCAGATTCAGCACAGAGAGCACCAAGTGACTCAGAAACAAATCAGAAGTTTAAAAGTGATGATACAAAATGAGTCTTGGGGCCTATGTGCATACCTAACCTTAAAAATAAAATAAAATAACAAAAACAAACAAACAAACAAACAAACTGCACCACAGGGTAAGACTCCCAAAATCGGTTAAGACAGACCTTGAGATCTGGATCACGTTTCTGGAACGCTACAATGGAGTCTCCTTATGGCAGGAAATCCTCAACCTGTCCTCAGATTTCCAGGTTCACTGATGCCGCTGGGTCCTTGGGCTTCAGTTTATTCTTTAGGGGACGCTGGTGTGCTCAACAATGGCCAGCAGAGGAGCAAGGCGAGGCTATCACGTGGGATCTCACTTTTCTGGAGTTTTTTCCCCCTTAGTTGTGGCTGTTCACATTTGGACTGAGGAGTTCCAGAATCGCCGGGTGTGCTTCAGAACTGATAACCAGGCAGTGGTCAACATACTGGCTAAACAGTCATCGCGTTCCGAGAGGGTGTCGCGCCTACTCCAATCATTCGTCCTCCAGTGCCTCGCTTCCGAGCATTAGCTCCCAGGGCTCAGCCACTGCCAGAACCCGTTCCGGAGCACCTGTGGAACCTTGGAGACGTGAAGTGATTAAGGGAGTATTAGCATCTGTCGCACCCTCTACACTTAGATCATATAAGAAGGTCTGGTGTGATTTCATGGGGTTCAGGTCCAAAGTATCCTCCCTTTCCACCAATGTTACACCCTCCACAGAAAATGTTCTGCAATACTTAACACACCTTCATGGCCTAGGTTGAGCCTCGAAAACTTTGAGGATACACATAGCCGCTATCACATTCTTTAGTAGACCCATGTTTTTCCACCGATTCGTGCTGTGACTTTATGGTCCGCAGGGCATTTGAAGGTTGCAGTTGACTGCAGCCTCCAAGTAACAAAGGCCACAAGCCTATTTCTTACAAGCTGCTGTCCCAAATCCGTATGAAACTTAGGTCAATTTGCTGGTCCAAGTTCGAGGCCCGGGTGTTCTCTGCGGCATACGTTATAGCCTCCTTTAGGCCGGGCCTCCAAAACGTTAAAGATACACGTAGCCGCCATCAGCTTCTTTGTAAAGCCATGTTTTCCTCCGACCCGTGCAGTGACTTCCTGATCCGCAGAGCTATTGAAGGTTGGGGTAAGCTGCAACCCCCTAGAGCCGAGGGCCATAAGCCATTTTCTTACAGGCTGCTCTCTCAAATACGCATAAAGCTTAAGTCGATCTGTTGGACCAAGTTTGAGGCCCACCTCTTTTCCGTAGCATATGCTAAGCCAATTCCTTACGGGCTGCTCTCTCAGATATGCACAAAGTTTAGGTCAATCTGCTGGACCAAGTTTGAGGCCCGCCTTTTCCCCCCCTCTGCATATGCGATCACCTTTTGGTGCCTTGAGGGTCGGTGAAGTAGTAGCCGAGGTTAATGCAACTGGGTCAACGCGCGGCCTCCTCACAGAGGACTTGCAGTTGTCCGAAGCTAGCACGACGGTGTGGATACATCAATCCAAAACGGATCAGGCAGGTAGGGGTTCCCTTGTAAAACTTACAGCTTCAGCGCAGCGGGGCCCATGCCCGGTCAAGGACACTAGATGGTACCTTTACCTCAGACTGCCTGGTTCTGGCCTGCTCCTGGTTCACGAGGATGGGTCACCTTTGTTGAGACACCAATTCACAAGGGTACTCCGCAAAGCTATTGATGCCTGTGGTTTATCTTCCCAGGATTATGCTGCACACTCATTCAGGATTGGCGCCACCACAACAGCGGTGCTCTTGGGTCTGCCAGCGGATAGGATTAAAGAAATGGGCCGGTGGAAATCCAATGCTTATAAAAGTTATATTCGCTAGAATGCGCTCTGCTATATTACCCCTACTTACCTCCTTTTCTGTCCTTTCATCCTCAGCTGTGATCAGGAGAAGCGTGTGGATTTGCGGCCACAGTATAGTCCATTGGGCCCGCGTACGGGCGGTCAGCTGCGGCCTTGCGCCTAATCTTGGTCTGCCACACGGTGTTCGAGTTTCCTGGTTCTCGAGAAGAGGCATGCGCTGGGAAGAGCTTATGCCATTGCTGTGGGAAAAAGTCGCCACGTTCAGCCCTCCCGGCATCCTTGTCATTCAATTAGGGGAAAATGACCTTGCTTACAGAAGGAGTGCGGACTTGTTGTGGAATATAAAAAGAGACTTGGATGCGTTTGCTGCCTTGTGCCCCAGAACAACAGTGTTCTGGTCCTCCTTCCTGAAGAGAATTTTTTGGCGCGGTGTATGGCCATTGAAAAAACCAGGAAACTCGTAAATCGGGCAGTGGCCTGTTGGGTGCGCTTCATGAATGGCCGAGTCATTTATCATGACCAAATCCGGATCGGCGACCGGGCCTTATACCGGAATGACGGGGTGCTTCCCTCTGACCAGGGGAACGACATTTGGCTAGATAGTGTCATCAGCAGCATTAGGGATTGGTTACAGCCGTGAGGGTATTGGCGGCGAGCCTTATTGGCTCGGGTGGCGGTTAGGCATTGGAATAATGTGTTGTGCTGTGTCGAAGGGCTGGGTGTGGCCATCGCCTATGCCTTCAATTTTTGGGTATTCCGTTAAAGGAATCTGGCGGCCGTGTACTCTGTCCGATGCCTGCTTGGCGGAGGCCATGGCACGACCCCCGGTGACATCAAGGGAGAGCCTATAGTTGGATTAGCATCAACAGGCTCCACCTACTGGTGAATAAACCCCCCTTGTTTTAGACATCCAATGCCTAAGCCAATACCTTTTCACTGCTGTAATCAATAAAGTTGTGGCCTTTTCTTGCCCATTAACCTTATATCACGTGTCCTTGTGTATTTATTTCACATCGCGGGGGTCGGGTCCTCGAACCACAACTATATGAAACACATAAAGAAGACAGCAAGAAAGGATTTAGTTATACTAGATCTAGGTTTCAAACGGAAGTGATTGAAGGGAAAGTGAAACTACTGAAGGCCGCATACAGCATACTATTAGAATGGGAGACGAAAGATGAAGAGGTAAAATCAGTTATGATTAAATGGGCAAAAGATGTAGGTCACAACATTATGATGGAAGATTGG